ATAATTGCAATATATGCAGCTCCATGGGTCCGGTATTTGACCAATGCTTTTCTTTTTTGGAAATGTATTTGACCAATTCTTAATTACAAATGAATTGTATAATTGTATAAATGAAGTATAAATAACTAAAAAACTAATTGATTAAACTTGGGTAACAAATCTTAATTAAATCTGTATTTAACATTAGTATACATATAAGGTACTACATTCGTCCCGCTATGATTGTCTCATTTTACTTTATCGGTCCGTCTCACTAAGATTGTCTTATATCAAATTTGGTAAAGTTTGTGTGGCTCTAAATCATTCTTATTTTATTCTTAGTTTATCAATCCAATATCGACCACATAAACCATATTATATTAATTTGCGTAACACTCCTTCTTGTCTCATTGTTAACGGGACGGAGGGTTACGTACCATTACCAATAATGTCACGAGTACTATTTTGGTAGCAAAGGCCGCGACATCAAACAGTAGCAGACGCACAACGGCGGCTCTAGACCGACCATAGTAGTTGCCGGCCTGCACCGAATTATAGTACGTAGGTGATGTCTATGATAGTTTCATCTTTCTTTCAAATAATGGAAGGTTCCTTCAATGGAGCCACTAGACAATAGTTGTAAATTTGTAATCTATCAAAACTATCATTTGATTCTGACCATCATGATCAAGAGCTTGTCTGATCATCTTGTTTTTTTATTTATCGGGTTTAATTTATCGTGCATAATAATAAGAAAAAGTAAGATTGAAGATACTTTTCTAGTGTTAAAGTTACTATAGATGATTATTTTAACTGATTTTTTGTAAATCAACACAATCAGCCACAAAGCCACTTTAGCCAGAACTTTAATAATTTTCAGCACATTCAGCCAATACAGCAAATTTGAGTATTACCAAATTGGCTCTAAACGCAACATCATTTTTAACAATCCCATCATTTATTATGCAATAAAATTCGACATATGGTTGTTCTTGTATCATACGAGTAAGGCCAAACATAAAACTAGAAGCTTTTTGATATTTTTTGAACAATGCAAAAGTTACAAGACAGAGGCTTATGTGTCCCAAACATAGCCTAATTAGTTTCAACAGCTTGTATATCAAATAGAGCTAAATAAAACAGTCAGTTTTTTATCAAACAATCACTATCTTTTTCTTTTAAGATTTTTTCGGTCACTAAAAACTAACAGTTCTTCAAACCTCATAAAAATATCTTTTCAACTAGTTTGTCAAACATTCAATTCTTTTACCCCTACAGCCCTACTATAACTTTGGATGTTTTCTCCTTTTTATTTAGAATATGTAGATGTTTAATGTATACGTACAAACTTTTATTACGTTGGATGCGCTCTATTTAACTGCAAAATTACAAATATTAAAAGCGTGGAATTGAATGAAATTAAGTGGGAAAACTTGGTCCAGATTGGGACCGATATACCTCCTTTGACTCGAGTACCCTGTTTAAATACAACAAGTCAATAATATTCAAGTTTTAGTTCCAAAAGATTTTGAGTTCGCCTAACATGAATGCATGATATCACCATCAAAAGGAAAAAAGAAAAAACAAAGATAAAAAGATAATTTATGATAAAAAAGATAATATAAAAAGAGACAGATACACATAAAAAAGATAGACTAAAAGGGATAAAAAGAATATTTATATACATTAATAAATGTATTTTATTGTTTTGTTAAAGTATTTCTTAGAAATAATTCTAAATGTATAACCAAAATTAATAAAAGTAGTGGGAAAAAGTATGATCCTTATAATTTAGTGGTTATAATTATATTCAAATGTTACATTATAGTGACTATAAAATTTACATTATAGTTACATTTTTTCCCATAGATTATTTATTAGTAATATTATAGGGAAAAAACATTATTTATTATCAAATAAAATTGAATGCCTCACTTAAATGAAAGGATTTTATAAAAAATAATATTAAAATAAAACTTATTTACACAAATATGACTAATAGTTATTACAATGTAGTATCTTGGGTAATTTAAATTTAATAAAAGAGTATAAGTTACTATAATTTCAACTACTCTAGTCACTACATACTAGTCACATTTTTGTAAACAATCTTTATTTTAGCCATAAATTAAATATGTAATTATTTCTAATTAAAATACTAAGAAATATGTAGTATATGATATATTTATATATTTAATCTATAAAGAGATTCATGCCAAAATTATTTTACAGATATACAAACAAGTAACCAAAACCCTTTGATTAAAATACGGAGTAGAACAAGAATTATATTTTAGAATTTTGTGTGTATTGAATATTATCACTATTTAATTTGGAATGAAAATGGCCTTTTGATATTAAAAAGAACATATATCTTACATCACACACATATCCATTATTTTTTGTGACACAGACTCTAAATCCAAAGATTTTCTCACTCTCTGATCACAATTAGAAATGAATGTTTTAACTTGAGTGAATTGTTTCGCTAATCATGTGACAGTTTTGAAGAAAAATTCAATCCTTGTTGTAAAAAACTTAACTAGATTAAAGTAAAAAACCCATATGTCCTCAAGATCCAAAAAAGAATAATTTTGAAAAACAAAAACGTATGAATTGAACTAAAACTAAAATAAAACACCACAAAATAAAACACTAACACCCAATGTATGCTATCAACCATCATCGAGCCTGATTCATCAGCCATATGATTATGTCAAATATCCTCCGAATCACTCATAATTTATTTTTCAGCTTTAATTTAATCTGCGTTGTAATGGCTTGCCGATATCCGTAACAATTTTAATACACATAAAAGGTTTCCATCGAGTCCCCAAATTAAAATCATCAACCCTAACAAATGATCCAATAAAATTCCCAACCCTTTCAACAATTTTTATCAATTAAGTTGGAGTATGTTCCATATACCGCTGAGGCCGAGCCAGCACCCTCCGAGGTCGGTTCCTAAATCTGTTCTCAGAATATCGAGATAAGTCCAAAATTGCAGTCTAGCCCGCGCCCGCTGAGGTCGATTCCCAAATCAGTACTCAAATTATCAAGATAAGGTCAAAACTACATTCAAGGCTGAGCTCGCCACCCACCAGGGTCAACATCAAATTCCGGCACTACGACCGGGTTTGAAGTCAAAAGAACTAAAAGAAGTATTAAATACTTTGCATGAGCAAACTGAGGTCACCCTCTTAAATTAGTACACTGTCCCGGAGCCCAACTCCGCAGAGCCTGTGGTGATATCATCAACATGACAGTTGTCTAGGGCTTACGCGTAACCCAAACGGTTATTCACAAAAGGATCTAGAACTTACACGTGTAGCTTGCATGTGTGTACGTTCCAGTACATAGGGAATAAAATCATTTATGCATTGTACCAATCAGCCAGTTTTCCACATTATCACACCAATTAGACTTTACATGTGTCGCCGTGTTATTAGATTAACATTTTTTTGCTTGTTGGCCAAGTATTTCCCTACACTATAAATAACACTTTCCAACTTGTGAAAAGGGATCTGAATTTCTTGCACAAAGCTTACAGTTACTCTGCCAAATTCTCTACTCAATCTATACTTAGCACTTTTCAACCTCTGTTACTCGGTTTTCCACCTACCTTGGGGTTTGATTTCCATCACTGTGGTTAAAGTGAAAAATACATATATCCTTTAGCAAAATAAAATTAAAAAGCAAAAAATTATTTGACCGGATCTAGAGACCCTAGGCGGCCGATTAGGCGTTCTGAGCGGGCAATTAGGAGACCAACTAGTTCACCTAGGTGCCAAACCAATTAGTCACGGCACCTAGATAAAACTTGAGGCGTCCAATCACCGTCTAGCCTAGGCGGGGACTCGTTGGGTGCCTAGAGTAGGGGCGGGGGAAACCAAACCAAAACCCGGGAATCGACCCTAGCCCGAAACAAAAATGTCACCAGTCCAAATTTTCTTATTTTTAGGGAAAAGTACGGATTACATACATGTGGTTGTGGCCGTTTTCACTTAGGGTGTGTTATGAACTTTGTAACAAACGCACCCTCGTGTTTTCAAACCATTACCACCCGCGGGGTCCCCGTCTTGACTCCGTTTAAATAATGCTGAAGTGGAACATTATTTGCCACATGCGTGATTACGTGGCTTGTAATCCCAATCTTGATGCACCATGTCATTATCCGTAGTATTAAGTAATGTGAATCCCAATCTTGAACTCTATAACAATACTCCGTATACAATTAGGCGGCCGACTAGTTCACCTAGCTAGGTGCCAAACCAATTAGTCGGGGCACCTAGACAAAATTCGAGGCGCCCAATCACCGCCTAGCCTAGACGGGGACTCGTTGGGTGCCTAGAGTAGGGGCGGGGGAAACCAAACCAAAACCCGGGAATCGACCCTAGCCCGAAACAAAAATGTCACCAGTCCAAATTTTCTTATTTTTATGCGGTCCGAAGAAAATTATCCGGATCAAACCCGAAAAATCGGGTTCACTAACGGTCCCTAAAATCTAAAACTTGACCCGAACTAGTCAAAACCTGAAACAATTACACTTAATATTAAATCAATATAGTAAACTAATATTATTTATAACCATGCATGACTTTGTATATCGTAGTGATCATGAAAATACCTTCCTAGTAACTTTAGTCGCATTTTTATGTACCTTAAACACAAAATTATGTTAAATTATTTTGTTTGGATTTGAGTTAGTGATTTTAAAGACTAATCTTTGTTTTATTATTTATATTTTGTATTTTTGAGTGATTTATTTGGAAACAGTTTTCAAAATGTAATAGGAAAGGGCGACGATTTCTCGTTCGGGTTTTAGAATGTTTTTACTTGTATTTAAGTTTGGTGGTCTGGTTTGATCTTTTTAAGTCTAGTTTAGTCTGATAAAATGGCAGGTCTCTATATAATTTATAACTATGTAAGTCTGATCTGATCCGATCCGAAACTGAAAACAATTCAAACAAAAAACATCTATAACCGGCCCTACCCAAACCCGAATGATACCAGGAGTGTTAATAACCCGACTCAAACATACAGGGGTCTTGTGTTGATGCTTAGTTTGCATAACTCTGGATCTTACGGATAATTTTGAGGTCCAGTAAAAACTCCATAAATCAATTGTGTTTAGAACACACACTAGACGGTAAATCAATTGTTTTTTGTCAGGCTGCTCGTCATGTTTTACGGTGTTATGTTAATCCTAAGCAGACGAATTGGTAGAAAATAATTGTGGTTAAGGTGAGCAAATAATACTCCGGCAATCCGCTCCCGCCGTTTCCTCTCACTTGCTCGCTCTTACATGGATTCGCCCTCCTCCTGGGATTCCCTGCGAAAGCAGGTATGGGTTTTGTTTGCGGTTGTTTTGATGTTAAAACCAAGCCACTTTGTTTTAAATTGGAAGGATGTATTCATTTATCGCCGTGATTTTTCCTCCAAATTGTGCTTTCGCATGTAAATGGGATATGGATCGTTTCGGTTTTCCGAATTCGTAGTACAATAAAAATTTAGACACCGAAATGTTTTGCAAATGAATTATCGCGTTTGAATGGGTAGACAACTCGTTTTGGGAGAAGGAGAGTAATTGAGGTGAAGGCCGTGTTGTCACTATGGCTTTCTGGTAGGAACATATCGATGCATCATATTATAGTTTAGAATCGTAAGCTTGAGAGGTTAGATGTTAATCAATGCCAGAATCACTTGATCTCTTATACAGTAATACGTAATGTGATGCACCTGCAGGGCTGCAACTTATGAGGTTAAGCTCCAACTAGATTCATAATTACTGGATATATGAATGTTAGAGCCTAGTTTCTTTTGCAACGGGCAATGGCAAAGCCCAAACAAAGAGAAAGGAATAATCTTGTTTTTTAGAGATTAGTAGATTACTATCTCTTTACCTATTATTTCCCATATTTATTTTTTTGCCTGTCCCACTAAGTTTGCTCATGCTGTATTTGATAATATATGTTTGGATCAATTTTATTCTTACTTTACAAATTGAATATGAAACACATAATTTCAATTTTCTTTAACATGTGTGTCACCTCTTCAAATCCCAAAGATAGTGGTATGGAGGTAGTAATTAATTGCATAGATTAAAGGCCAATATCGTTGAGAAGAAAAGGTCCAAATTATTTGGAACGAGTGTAGGATTTTTTTGTTTCGCCCAATTTCCAGTTTCCCACTACTAAAAAGTATGGGTAAGATTAAGATACTAAAATGTGCTTCCTCTGGTTCACAATAATTAGTCTTTTGTAAGAAAGATTAGACACTAAGAAGTTATTAAATGGCGATGAACTTTATTTTATTACCCCTACTAACTTTTACTCATTATTGAAGATTAGTTTTGCATAAGACTCTTAATGATGTGTCAAATGACACTTATTGTGAACCAAATTGAGTATCAAATAAAGAAATTGTGCTTCAGAAAACATCTTCTTCTTAAAGGAAACTTTTCAACCCTGCGGTCCCTTCTCCTTCCATTTGTGTACAGTTATTTATAAATGCTACTCCGTAAAACCTAGTGGTCGGTACCTTTGGCTCTCTGCAATTCCAATCTATATGTGTAACTACCAAATACAGATTTTTATCACTAGTTTTTTAGTACTCTCTAATGACTAGAGGAAATGACTTTTGAATTTGAGGATGTCGTATTGTGAATTGTAATTCTTTCATTTTCTATCAAACTTATTCTATTACAGAATATATCTTAATCTTCACCATATCACATGAGTTACTTTTCAAAAGATCTTGAAATCTTGTAAGCTCCTAATGGTGGAGATTTATTTTCCTACAAGAAAACAAAGCATGATAAGATAGATCTGATACATAAGGCATTGTGCTTCGACTCTATGCTTGATTTCCTTAAAAGTTGCTTAGGAAGATATTTAGTTAAACAGAAGTGAAGTTGATTCATTCTAAAATGTCTAAGTAAAAGATCTAGATTAAAGCACAAATTACTGTAGCAAGGAAAATTTCTTAGCTTGTGCAAGTGAGCGAGCCTTTGTGGGATTAACTAGGTTTATTTGGTTTAGTTAAGCCTGTTTAGTGTAATTGGGTGACTGTATGTGTACCCTGTTGTACTACGTTCTGAAATGTAGATTAGGTTGTGATTTCAATTTTTCAGTACTAATATCTTGGTACATAAGCAATGAGCATATTGTTTTACTGTTTCTGATCTCGTGCTTGATGGTGGCTTTTAATACGCAACAGGCAAGGAAACTTGAAGCACAGCTCGATGAACAGATGCATTTTTATCGCAGATTAGTTAGCAAAAAAATTGACGGTTCCAATGATAACAATCTTGAAAAGGGAATAGACCAGCTGCTTAAAGATCTACAACAAGTCAATTCTCAAATGCAAGCTTGGGTTTCATCTGGAGGAGCTGAAATATTTTCTCACACATTAACTCGCCACCAAGAGATCCTTCAGGATCTTACTCAGGTATATTTGAAGGCTGCAGTAAAATTCCAAACTTTTGCTCCTAATTGAGTAATGTTGTATTGTAGTCTAATGATAGTGCATAGTTTAATATATGGCTGGAGACCTTGCTGAAAAGATGTATATTGCAGTTTTTGGGTAGTGCAGAGATTCTAGAAGAATATAATAGGAATCAATCTCACAAGATTTTCTGCATGGCATCATAATGATTGTTAGAACCTTCTTCTTTGACATACAAACTGGCATGTACCTAGATGAATCCTCTGAAATTGTATATAATCTTTAAATAATGAAACTAGACAAAAGCATTGGTGTATCCTTGATGGTTTAGTTTAGCTGCATTATTAAAAAGAAGCCTATCTGATGTTTTATGTGCAAGCATATTGTCATATTGTAAGTCATATCGCTAATTTTTTGATCAGTTTTTTTAATCGTGAATCATGAATTGATTTATATGGTCAATCATACTTTTCCATTTCTAATAAAAGTGTGTGTGTGTGTAGCTTGCATCTTGATTCTTGAATTGCATCGTATGATATGTATCACGAATGGTACAATACGGGTAATTTTGTGTGTGACAGCTAAAGGGGAAGCTATCCCCCACTTCTTTCATATAAATGTTTTTACTAGTGGAATGAATGTAAATGCACAGTGCCCTTTGACAAATTGTTGTTCTTGTGATCTTTTGAGTAAGTACTGTTTTTAAAAAATCACAAAACTGTTGTGGTTAAGGGAGTTACTTTTTCTTTAAAAGAGGGCTATACAGCCTTTCCTATGTCTGGTTCTTGATTTGAATATGGTCAAGATTATAGTTTAATTACTTTATAAAAACAAGATCTTTTAGATGGTATGTAGGAGATATCCTCCCTTTTCTTTGCACACACATATCTTTGATTTTTAGTAATTTATCATTCCATCCTGCTGAAAGACACCTTTGTTAATTGTATACAGTCTTTGTTTACGTTTATCAATCTCTTATTTTTTCAGTGGCTAGAGCTAAGTGTTGAGTTGTTTATAGGAATTTAAACGTCTTCGTTCCAGCTACAGAGCCAAGAAAGAACATGCCTCATTACTTGATGAATTTAGGGAATTTGATCGGACAAGATTAGATCTGGAAGATGGTGGTGACTCTTATGATCATGCACTCCTCAGTGAACATGCTTCCATTCATAGAAGTACTGGGCAGGTAATCATATATCACAACTTAAACTTCTTTTTCAACTTTTTCCGTTTTTGTCATTTGCAAATGGCATCTTTTACCATCGGGGTTTACTTTTAAACATCAATATCAAATATCCATAATCCCTTGGTTCTATACTGTACCTTTTGACATTGACTCTGTGTGCTATAAATGTTCAGTAGGCAAATAACAGACGGTAGAAAAGACAAAGACCTTTCTCTCTGGTTGTCAAGCATGAGAAGGGCCTATTTATTTGGGCTGATATTTTATAGTCTGTTCTAGTATGTTCGAGTCTATTTTTTTGGTATGATATTTTGTCTAGTCTGGTCTAGTTTGGGATTGAAACAAGTCCAAGTCAAGAGGTCCTAAATCATGTCTCCCCTCATAACAAATAAGAATTTCTTAAATTATAATTTGTTGGAATCTGGGAAAAACGTTTTAATATGGGAAGAAATGTGGGTATGGGGGTGTCGAGGTAATTTTTTATAACTTTGATTCTCTAGTTCAAGTAAGTTTGTGTTATATGCACTAAGATACGAGGTGTGGCCATGATATCAGAGTTCATTTTATATTTTACTTTGCTAGCAATTGGCCAATGGTAATCCTGTCATGTGATGAACTTTTTATCTTGCTTGTTAATCAAGTGGCTGACTAAAGGTTGTATTGCTGCAGATGGATGGTGTGATTTCTCAAGCACAAGAAGCTTTCAAGACACTTGTGTCTCAACGATCAACATTTGGTGGCATTAATTCAAAGCTCAGCAATGTTACCAGTCGACTTCCGACGGTAAGCATCAGTTTGTTTCATGACACCGCATCATACCTTTAATGGAGTATCATGCATTACTGGACACCATAGGTTTGAATGTGGATCCTCTGTTTATCTAGCTGAAAACACGACTTCTACTGCATAATGTCTTAGTTCTAGTCTGCTTCGGGTACCGGGTCACCTAAAGGGGGGATGAGAACCTTTACTGGGTACACCTATTCTTGTTTTTCGCCTTAACAATGGAACCATTTCAGTTCAGTCATATTTTGGAGGAAAGGAACCGCAATGAGGTTAGAATGGTTCCCAGAACCTGTTTCGCAGGGAAGTGAAAAAAAAAGAGTCTGTCAGGTTTTTCCCCAACCAGTCCCAATTCAGACTGGGGCCTGAACTGGGACCAGGCCCACCCCTTTTAGTGTATATATTACACTCTTTAAATGGAATTAATACAGGCAAATGCTGTGTTCTAGCTGAAATCACTCATGCAATTCACATCATTCACTTTCACTATCAATTGTTACTTGAGTCTACTTCTTGTTTCAGGTTAATCATATTATTTCCTCGATAAAGAAAAGAAAGTCCATGGACACGATTGTCCTCTCGCTAGTTGCGTCGATGTGTGTGTTTCTTATCCTGATCTACTGGTTGACAAAATGAAAAGTTGCCAGTTTTCCAAAATGAGAGCACCCCCTGGATCAGATGTATGATTTGTATATTCCGAGTCACAGAATTTACAACAATTGTAAATTCCGAGTCACAGAATTTACAATTCCTGCCTTCACCCATTTTTATTCAATTGGTGTATGTGGAAGATGGAGTGTATTTACTATGATGTATAGATGAAAAGATGTATTTGAAAGATGCAGAAAGAAACGTGAACAATGGACTAGTGATTCACTGATTCTTATAGGAACTCAAGTTCGTGTTACAATTTTGATTGGATGGAATTATGGGAATTTGATGCTCTGTGATAATGTTTAAATGTTTTGTTAAGCAACCGCTCATAAATGATATTTTCACACTATAATTGTATAATAATGAACTTATGTTGTCGTTAGATTTTAAGAGAGTAAAACCTTCATATAAAATACAACCTTAGGTGTCCGAGTGAAGGTACATGAAAGTTGTAATAGAACACTGAACATGAATAATAGTACTCATCATCATCATGACATCAATAATCATCATAACTATAAAAATAAATAAACAAAAAAGAACTTAATGAGAAGAGTGGAAGCAAATGTAAAGCAGAATAGCAGCAGAAATAAGTAAGTACACTATTAAGGAGATTGAGGTTGATGCATATTTGTATCCAAATTTTGTCCTAGTTCTGCCATCTCATGTCTCCTATGAATAAGCGGTCATGTGAAGTGGATGCATATTTGTAAGGAGATTGAGATGAAGAAATGGCAATTCAACCTAGGCAAACACAATCTCTGCAGTTGATGGTGAGAACTTACACAGCGGATAAGGCGACTCCACAACCTCCCATTCCACATAAAACTTTGAGTTGCAGCTCTTCCCCAATGCCTTCCTTTTAACAGTTCCAATGGCAATGTCGAGATATTTGGCCACAACAATGATCCTGTCATTGCAGCAGCTCACTCGGAATGGACCGCTCATCTCCAACTCCGTTCCTTCCACCTCCTCCCACTTATCCTTCTCTTCCTCGTACACCTTCACCATCTTCTTGTGGTTTTGCCCTTCCCCATCCCGCTCAGAAACCAGAAACAACCGACCTTCAATCACAACGCTTAGACCCCTCCAACCCATTCTCATCCCGTACGGCATATCCTCCCAGGAATTCACTCTCGGGTCATATACTTGACCGCTCGGCATGATCCCGAGGAGAGCTGACCAACACCAACTCTCTATCACATAAAATTTCCCATCCAGAACCACAGCATCATACGACGCGATGTCTTCTTCCATACTAGCAACGCATTGCCATTTTCCGTTACTAGGATCCATGACCTCCGTCGACTTGACTTTGAAAAGCCCCGTGCTATTCCCTCCCGCAATATAAATCTTCCCGTCGATGACGCCTGATCCAAAGTAAGACCTTGAAGTGATCATTCGCGTGATCCTCTTCCAACTGTTGCTACGCACCTCATACTTGTATGTTTGACCTATCGGGTGATCTTCGTTTGAAAGAGTACCGCCACAAAGGTAAATGACACCTTCGTGTGGTAAGGCGACACTGCGAAACCCGTGGGGGCTGACGTTGGACGTGTAGGGCAAATCGGAGAGGGTTAGCCATGAAAAGTTTGTGAGATTGCAAGCCATCAAACGTAACCTCTGGGTGGATTCATTATAGGCAAAGACGAAAAGCCATGGATGGAAAAATGAGAGCTCCTTTCTCCTGGCAAAGTATTGTCCTGTTTTGTTGCTGAAAAGATCATACCATTCTCTACAGACACCTTTTAGAACTGCATGGTTATCAACTGGGACCCGAAGAAGACAGTTTAGAGCTACACTGTCTGGAAGTCCAGGGATAAGAGGCTGTAATGGTTGTTCTGTGAAGGTCATTTTGGGAACTAAAAGAATATAAACCCGGTCCGAATGGTCTAGGAGTTTGAATACTACGTATATTGGTAGCCAGGCCTGGGTTTAAATAGGACAGACATTAGCATTATTCAGTCAGCAACGGCCAGAAAAGGCAAATAAATCTCTATAGGTTGGCTGGCAGCTGGCAAATGGGAATTCAAGGTTCGTTTAACCAAGATATTTTTTTTAATTACCATTTTCTGAATTTTCCATAAGCCCCAAGAGTGAAGTAAATGATTATTTGTTATCAGATTTAATTTGTGCCTTTATTTAACTTAGATTTATTTCAAGATTGTGTAAATTGTAAGCATATATTGCACACGGTTATGCCAGGTAATTATGAGTACGTAACAATCAATTACAATTCGAAAGTCTAGAGAGTATGTCGCTAGAAGTGCATCATTAGTGCACTTTCACCATTTAAATTTTCATTGGAAAACACCATTAAACTCTTTTGAAGCTTTGATATATTATTACCTGCGCCTTTATTCAAATTATGTTCTTTCCTGCTATCTTTTAATGGAGATTATATAAAGTAAATTATTTTTAAAAGTACAAAAAAAATCTTCAAAATTTTGAAATATTGCTACAATATACTTTTCTGTTCACGGATTCAACACATGTTTTAGATATAATATGAATACTCTAAAAAGTTTAAATTCATCTATTGGTGAATGGTTTTTGGCAGAATTCATAATAATAATCCTTACTTCTAGCGATTCTACAATAATAATCCCTACTGAAAGCATTTATGATGTTTTTGCTTGGACTGAAATTTGTTGATCTGGTAAATGTCTAATCTTTGTGTATTTTATAACTGTTCAAATCTGGTCTGGTATGATCTGGTCTGGTACTGAAAATAGTCCAAGTAAAAACATTCTTAATATTCTCAAGCCCTACACACAATTTCTCCTTCAACATTCTTTGTCTCGAATAATACTTATATCTTCCAACCTAGAAAAACCACATATGATAGAAATAGCGCTATTTGTGACATTCCACAGAAATATCCGTACTAGTTGACATGGACTAGTTTGAATTCACCACAACCATGGTACCCGCCGCAAGGGGACCATGTCAACTAGTCCACATCAACAATCACCAACAAACAACTACCACTTAATAGCAGATATAAGTGCGCTCTGTTTTGTCACTTAAAAAACAGCAGATGACTTGTTTTTTTTATCGTAAAAGAGCGGCTTTATTTAAAACAAGAGTGCATACAAGACAACCTTCAGACATATTTTACAGACTCAATCGTGAATCCTAGAATTAGACATAGAGTCAATCACCTCATACAAAGCAACATGACTCGCTAAAACTGAAACGGGCAAAATTAAGCCTAAAACGAATGGATCTGAAACCCTATCTATCAAAACAATTCCAAAAATTCAAACATTCAAACCAAATTCATTCGGACAAAAACAAAAACAAGTACTACTAAAGAGAAAATAATATTGAATTAAAATCTTTCTACAAAAGTCTTCCTAATGTGGAGGTGGTTCCGAAGAAAGACGAGCTCCTGCAATATGGGTGAATACCAATTTCACCACCGTCAAAATGGCCGACCAAAGCCTCACGATCCAGCACTGAGACAAACTCTCAATCACAACTTGTTCATCTGTCGACACTATCTCCTCCAATGTAGTTGCAATCTCAAACGTTAGAATACTTAAAATCAGTATAATCTACCGCTCCAACCGCATATTGATAGGGGCGGCGGGAAATCTCAACCCCTACAAAGAGGGGATGTGGTCGCTAGGGTTAGAGAAAGACTCTGTTTTTGCAGTTACTTAACAGCGGATAACTTGTTTTAAACCTAAATTAATTTAATGTCATCAAGGAGATTAGTGTATTTGACATGAAAGAATACTTTCCATAGAGTGGCATGACTTCGAGAATCTTGTCCAGATATCCAACACTCCAACAACAAAATAGGGTTTGAAGAACGCAACTATTGACATGAAAGAATACTTTCTTAATGTGGCATGAGTGCATGACTTCGAGAATCTTGTCGAGATGCCCAACAATAAAATAATGCAACTATCAGCACCTAATAGAACTAGGCACAAATAAGCTTCATAACAAATCAAAAGGAAATTACATTTGTTTAAGGTGCTAGTTTTATTTTGTTTTTTGGGGGGTAGAATTGAGCGAGACTACTTTTTTTGTGTGCAATAATCAAAAAATAAGTCCTCGAATTTTCATAAAAAGTACAAATAGGGATGGACCGGTTCCAGTGCGGGCCCGGTTCGGGCCTGACCTCGGTTCATGAAGGGGAGGCCCGGAACCGGGCCGGGTAACCCCCGGGTCCGGGCCGGGCTTCGGTTCTATTTTTTTTTTTTTTTGGCTTTTCCTAGTTAACCCCCAACCCTCCCCCTCACCCCCCAAACCAACCCTAACCACCTCAAATGGCCCAAAATACCCAGCCCAGCCCAAAAACTTAAAAAAAAAATTGGCCCAGCCCGAGCCCGAACCGGCCGGGCCTTTTCACCTTTTGAAGGGCTCGAGCCCGAACCGCCATCCCACCGGGCCGGGTGGCCCGAACCGGCCAACCAACCGGTTCACCGGGCCGGTCCAGGCCCGCACAGTAGCGGGCCGGTCCAGGCCCGCACAGTAGCGGGTCGGTCCAGGCCCGCACAGTAGCGGGCCGGTCCAGGCCCGCACAGTAGCGGGCCGGTCCGATTCCGGGCCGGTTGGCCCGGCCCGAGTCCAACCCTAAGCACAAATAAGCCCTTCTATAGGAGGCTCTGTCCGGCCATCGCCATTTGGGCGGTTTCCGGTGAAATTTTTTGATGAAATTTTTTGAGTATTTTCTTCATTAAGTCTAGTTTATTCATACCAAATTTCAACTAACAATTCAATCAGCAAGGCAGACAAATGAAGTTTTGAAGATAACTGCGTAGTTAGACAGCGCGTTATATTTCAAAAAATCATTTGACTGCCTTAAGGTTGGACTCGGGTCTGGGCCGGGTCCGGGTCGGGCCTAGGCCCGGGCGGGCCGGCGGGTCAGAAATGGTGGACCCAGGACCGGCCCGGGTAACCACCGGGTCCGGTCCGGGTCCGGTCCGGGTCCGGGCCGGGTCGGGCCGGGCCCATTATATTTTTTTTTTTTGGTTTTCCTCTTCCTAATTAACCCCCCTCCCACCCCCAACCCCCCAAACCACCCCAAATGGCCCAAAATACCCAGCCCAACCCGAAAAGTTAAAAAAAATTGAAAAAAAAAAAAATTGGCCCGAACCGGGCCCGGCCGGGTCGAGCCTTGTTTTGGGTGACCCGAGCCCGGACCGGAAAACCCACGGGCCGGGCCTACCCGGACCGGTCACTGACTGGGCCACCGGGTCGGGCCGGGCCGGAACAGTGCTGGTCCCGGGCCGGTTCCGGGTCGGGCCACCCGGCCCGAGTCCATCAATAGACTGCCTTCTCGATTAAATTTTTAGCTGAAATTTGGTATGGGTAAACTAGACTTAATGAAGAAGATGCTCAAAAAAATTCATTAAAAAATTTCACCTGAAACTGCCCCAAATGGCGATAGCCGGACAAAGTCTCCTGTAAAAGGGCTTATTTGTACTTTTTATGAAAGTTCGAATGCTTATTTGATAGTTCTCCCAAAAATAAACATACAACATTTACTGGCCAACAAAGGAAACCATAAATAAACATGGTTGTCCCCGTGTGTCAAATCCCCTCCTTTTATCTATTCCTTGTGCACGTTCGATGCAGAGCCAAATTCTCCTTCAGCAACTTTAGCCGCACAGAGACGTACGAATCCAACAGCATCAAGACTAGAGTTGAACCTAGTATTAGTGAATGCAATGAGAAAATTAAGGCAATTTGTGAAAGTAATCTCGTACAATCTTTTCTTTATTTGAAAAGCTGGCGGCACAATGTTGTTATGACCATCATAAGTAGAGACCTGAAATTCTGAAAACATTTAGATGAGTAAATAATCGAGGAATAAAATAGTTAAGCAATCCGTTTTTCTCTTGAAGACAAACCTAAGAACAAAATGGAAATACACATTTAAATGAGGGCCAAGAACAGTATTCTTGAAAATGGTCACAAAGCAATCAGAGTATGAGCCAGATTTTTTTACCAAACAAGTACGATGTGATTCATGTTGAGTAAAGAAAAGAATGTTTACTAAAACCCGTAAATGCATCAAATTAACATATGGAGAGCGCTCTACATAAAGGACAAATAATAGCAACTTACACAATCTCAACCATCTTGGTGATGCTGCCTTGAATCTGATGTCGAATTCAACTCTTCTATAGAAACCTAACACAAAGCCTTGACAAAAGTCACAGATAGACTTAACTTAAATTTTTGACTCCTAATGAATATGTGGCTCATTTCACCAACTTGTTGCAACATGTTTGAGACCAAGTTGGCCATATGTTCTTTTGTGATACCAGAGGCAGCGGTCAGCAGTGCCACTGATGCCTGCAGCGTCATAAGATGATAAGAAACCCTTCTCACAGAAGATGTCTCATTTTAAATCCTCCTAGGCCCCTTCTTTCGGAACAAGAAGAATATTTGATTTGGCTTGCTGTAACTTGTCAAACTCAAACTTATGAACTGCAAAGAAAGTGGCATCTGGAGGGGTACCCTCCCCAAAGAGATGCAAATTCTAAAACTGAGAAACAGAGGTCAAGATGTGCGCCCGTCCTAAGTAGCACCGGGACGGAAACGGAAACGGAAACAGGGACGGGAAAACTCCAATCTCAAAATATCAAGATCCGGGTACGGCAAGGAAACGTCGAACAAAAAATTTTAATTTTAGTAATATAGGTAATATTTACGTCCAATAGATACGAAATAAATATAACAAACATATTTCAATGTCATAATTCCGAAAAAGTGTATTATCAGCACCAAGAACTCCCTGACCCACTCCCAGCCTCACTACAAGAACCTTCCATATGGTTTGTACTTAAAACCATAAATATAAGAAGTACTCAATTTATGGAAAAGATCAAATACGAAGCTAACAAAAATTCCCAGCCGTCCAGCAGAGTAGCAGATGCGCTCACCACCTCACCCCAATACCCAGCCGTCCAGCAGAGTAGCACTGTAGCAGACCAACGGATTTCCGATACTCTCCGCGTCGAGCTTCTACGCCGATAGGGACTGGGAGTTCGAAAGACAAACAAGTTTATTTTTTTAAATTAAGAAACATGTAGGTCCACTTAAAAAACATTTCTGAAATGTTTCCTCAACCCAGCCCAACAGCCCAATATCTCAGAAACCTTTCCCCAGCGTTTCCAGCCGTTTCCAGGCATTTCCTGGCGTTTCCCGTTTCCGAAACGTTTCCGGGACGGAAACTGGAGGAGGAATGTCGTTTCCGTGCTTCCTAGCTCCCGTCCATGCCTCTTGCAAATAACTTCCATCCCGACATCCGCAATTGTTCAACCCTGTCACAAACCCAGGAAGGTAATTAGTGTTAGCTATCAAGTTTCTGAAAGTTGAATGACTGTGATTGATAATTGACATTTACTGGAACAGTATGCACAAAATAATAGAAGAGACCATGATAGCATCAGTGTTGTGTTGTATATCTGCAGGTGAAATGGAGAGAAGTGAACTTTGTGATGGATGTCACAAAGCATAAAGCAGATCAATATCACTTATATCAGGAAAAAGTTAGTCAGATAATCACTCTGATTTCAGAACTACGACCTCTTCTGCTTTCTCCTCTAAGTTTGGAGATGGAGGTGTCTGGTGTCCTAAAGGGACTCTTAGCCACGTTCTAACTATGGAAGGGTCATTCCCATTACTGGCCAATCATTTTTAGTCACACTCTGTTAGATACATGTTAGATACATATCATGTAATAGACTAGAAGGTTTATCCTAAACAGTATACTAGATGGGGACCCGGTTGTTATGTAGTCAGTTAGACTTATAACCAACTGTATAAATACTTGTACTCAGTTCATTGTTGAAATCAATCTGAAATACTTTAATCACTTCTTCTTCTTCTTCTAATATGGTATCAGAGCTCATGCTCTAGATCGATCCAATAATGGCGTCCTCTAACTCAGATTCTGTTACCTCCACAAATTCTTCCTCCATCGTTACTTTCGCACATCAACTTCCGATCAAGCTTGATGCTAATAATTTCATTTTTTGGAAGCATCACGTTGAATCAATCGTTCGTGCACATAAACTCCTTCGGTTTATCATCAAACCAGAAATTCCGAAGCATTTTCTCTCCAGTGCTGATGAAGAAGCTGGAAACGTAAATGAATTGTATCTTACCTGGGAACAACAAGACCAAATGCTCTTCTCGTGGTTGCTTGCATCCTTGTCTGAATCGCTTCATGCACGAGTGATCCATTGCAGTCATTCATATGAGCTCTGGAATGAGATCAACACGTTCTTCAGAGCAAGTATAGTTGCGAAGGCCAGACAGTTGAAATCAGAACTGTATACTACTGCCAAAGGTGAACGTACCATTTCTGAGTACCTTCTACGGATCCAAACCATCGCTGATAATCTCCTCTCTATTGGCGAACCGATAACATCTAAGGAACACATCAATGTGATTTTAGAAGGTTTACCGGAGGAATATGAATCTCTAGCATCATCTATTTCCTCTCGTAGCATTCTCGACCCTCCTACTTTGTCAGAAGTCGAATCTCTTTTGTCTGCCAAAGAGGTACGATTGCAGAAACTTCGTGAATCGTCTCAAACAAATCTATTGTCTGCTAATGTAGCTCGTCTGGAGGTTACGTCCACAACTAATCAATCTGCAAGTGAAAATACTCCAAACAATGCTTTCTTGAATGGTGAACTAGAAGAGGAAGTGTACATGGTTCAACCTCCAGGTTTTGAAGTTCAAGACACATCTCTGGTCTGTAAACTTCACAAATCACTATATGGCTTAAAACAAGCTCCTAGAGCTTGGTTTCAAAAACTAACCTCAGTTCTTTATGCTACTGGTTTTAAACAAAGCAAATCTGATCCTTCCCTACTCATCTATCTATCCTCTACAGTCCAAATTTACATTCTTATCTATGTTGATGATATCCTGGTCACAGGAAACAATTCAGCAGCCATAACTCAACTCATTCACAAACTCCATTCCTCATTTTCTCTAAAACACTTGGGAGAGCTTGATTTCTTTCTTGGAATAGAGGCACACAAGCTCCCAGATGGCAGTCTTCACCTATCACAGGCTAAGTACATCAGAGATGTTCTAAATCAAGCTGGCATGCTTGAATCTAAGGGAGTTATGACACCTATGGTGAGCACTTGCAAACTGCAGAAACAAGGCAGTGATTACTACTCAAATCCTTCCCAGTATAGATCCATTGTTGGAATGTTACAGTATGCAACTTTGACTAGGCCAGATATCTGCTATGCTGTCAACAAAGTGTGCCAGTTCATGGCAGAACCACTGCAGGAGCACTGGAATGCAGTAAAACACATCCTCATATATCTCTCTGGAAGTGCAAATCATGGAATTGTCATCAGACCTATTTCCTTGTCTTCTATACCTCTACCAATATCAGCCTACTGTGATGCTGACTGGGCATCTGATCCCAATGACAGAAAGTCTACTTCTGGCTCATGCATACTTCTTGGAACCAACATCATTTCCTGGTGGTCAAGAAAACAACTTAGGGTTGCAAGATCTTCAACAGAAGCAGAGTATAGGAGTCTGGCAGACACCACTGCAGAACTCTTATGGATCCAATTTCTACTAAAAGAACTTCAAATCCCCTTTTCTACTCCCAGAGTATACTGTGATAACCTCAGTGCTGTTCAACTGTCTCACAATCCTGTTTTGCATTCCAGGATCAAGCACATGGAAATTGATCTTTTCTTTGTCAGAGAAAAAGTTCTGCTCAAGCAACTCCAAGTCTATCATATTCCCTCTCTTCATCAAATTGCAGACATACTGACCAAGCCACTCTCCAGTTCCAGATTTCTTGATTTAAAAACAAAACTTAGTGTGATTGAGTTGTCAAACCAATCACCCTAATTTTGAGGGGGGAATGTTAGATACATGTTAGATACATATCATGTAATAGACTAGAAGGTTTATCCTAAACAGTATACTAGATGGGGACCCGGTTGTTATGTAGTCAGTTAGACTTATAACCAACTGTATAAATACTTGTACTCAGTTCATTGTTGAAATCAATCTGAAATACTTTAATCACTTCTTCTTCTTCTTCTAATACACTCTAAGTGCTTTAGCTGCTATAAAAGGCTGGACCACTTGGCCACACATCTTTTTTTCATTTGTGCATGACTTCTGCTAAAATCATTTTTCTTGAATGGTCTCCTTTCGGTTAGTACTTAGTACAATGCACACATTTAATCGAAAGCAGTTTTGTGATACACTGCAGGTGCAGGTACTACCACATTTGCAGCAAATTCTACTGGGTTTTATGGTTTCAAGACAACAAGAGGGACATTGTGAGTGATGTCTTAACATAGTTTTACATGAAACAAAGCCACAACGGAGACTGATCTTTTTTAAACATCAAATGAAATTGGGATTAGTAATTCTAGGACAACCTGGGGCTAGAAGTTAACCTGTATAAATGTTGTCTAGATTCCAGACTATAGATATGTTGCCAATTGTGTCAACTATATAACTTCGCAACAGTCCCGACACAGGTCATCCCAGTGCCAATATTATAAATTCATCTTGGCAAGATCAGCTCACAAACAAAATTTGAACTTCAATCCACAAACTATGATTTAGAAAAAAAGGCAATGTTACCAAAGTCACATACTTGGAATCTGGCCAGGTGTCTCTCTAAAATGCATTTGAGGTTATCTGGTTTGAGCGAGCTGATTAAATGTAGAGAAGTCCCAATCAAAATTGGAGAAATGGAGAGCTGAGCTAAATGATGTCTTTTACTTAGCTCCTTAAGTCCTTATTATACTGTTCATTCATCTATGATTACATCCAAAGATAATTGTTCATTGTTCTCAAAACTTCTAGAGTATATCTCATAAACTCTTGCAAGGTCCGAAGCATTCAAGGTGAACATGTGTCCTGGCAAAGCAAAAGAAGTGCCATTGCTTATCTCCTCATTTTGCTCTTCCACAGAGGCAGCCTCCCTGAGCTTCCCTTCTCTCCAAAGGCTCTTCACAAGCAAGTCTTTAGTGGCAGAATCACCCAATTGTTGTCCATAATTGCACATTTCCTCAAAAACTCTCAGTCCAAGAGAAGCCCTCTCACACTTGCAATATGCATGTATGACAACCTTGTACATATAACTATCCGGCTCAAGCCCACTCTGCCTAGCCATCCCAAACAATCTCTGCACTGTTCTGATATCCCCCTGAAGTGCAAAATGGTGCATCAGTCCAGAATATGTTTGCCTGTCCGGAAAAATCTCAAGCAGAATCATCTCTTCAAGTATGATGATGACATCAGCAGCATCCTTTTTGCATTTCGCTAATGTCCTCAAAAGAGACGAATACAGAAGTAGCCAACCGTTTCTGGGAATAGGACCGCAGATTGTTTTTGTATTGCGGAAGACCTTTAGTGCAGCATCACTGTTTCCAGAAATCCCATAAAAGTCAATTATTAACCTGAGTGTGATAAATGACAGTTGTAGCCCTTCACTTTCCATCTTGGACAAAAGTTTATCAACTAAATGGACACATCCTTGACGGGCCAACTTGGCAATCATCCTCGACACTGTGTAGCTATCATGAGTAAATCCCGGTTGATAAGCAACCCAGCAAAAAAAATTCCAAGCTGTTTCTGCAGAGTTAATGTTTCTTATAATCTTGCTGACTAGCCGAGTTGTCCATACAAACTTTGCATCCTCCAAAGTTGACACCTCATCTGGTTTCCAATCCTGCAAGGCACTAGCCAAAGCAGCAGGGTCCATCCACGGCTTTAATTGACATTGGTCTGAAACATCTTCAGCATTTTCTTCATCGTCATTGTCCTCATTCGAATCTCCCATGCTATAAGAAATGCTCGCAATCCTTCTGTCAGGAAGCATTTCTTCAATCAATGCATTGACATTCCCATCATAACCTGACTCCTGCATTTTTTGCAAAGCCCAATGCATAGCCCGGCCTGGCAATATCCCATCAGCCCTCATTTCTTCAAGCAAATCTTTGACATCATCCAATCGTTCATTTCTAATTAATGCTCCAACCATGACAGAATACTGCTTCGATGTGCGTTTTATCCTCATCTGTGGCAAGATCTTGAAAACTTGGACTGCTGAATCAAATTTCCCAGATGTCACTAGATGGTCGATTATAACAGTGTAAGTTCTAGAATTTGGAAGTGCCCCATCATTTATCATCCCCTTGAAAACCTTCACAGCTTCAAAATCCTTTCCCTTTTGGGCACTAAGGTCAATAATTATGTTGTAAGATTCTGTACACGGATGCTTCTTCTGCAAATTTCTCTTCCATTCAATCCATATTTTATTAACCTCATCAAGATCTCCAGCAGCAGCATACCATCGCATACGATCCATATAACTAACACGTGCAACGTTTGTGAATTTCCCCGCATTAATACCATTTATCAAGGCTTGGAGTTTACCCTTTTGCCCTGATTTGGCGAGAACCTTAGCCAATGCATACAGGGAGTTTGTAGTGTGTGAGAAATGAGAAACTGCTTTTAGGGAATCGATGAAAAACAGTGCAGACTCAGGAGATGGCGCTGAACGAATAGCATTGGTCACTACAAATGAGTCGAGAGAAGGGTTCTTGAGGAGGTCGGATAGAGACTCTGTGGAGTCTGATCGAAGATGAAGTCTTATAGAATCAATGAGCCTTGCCCTCTCAATGTACAAGATCACCTTATTCGCATTTCGGGTTTTTGAGAAATGACGAAATTGCACAGTTAAATGGCTTGGTGGGCAGGTTATCTTGTAAAGTCTGCCAAGAAACATCCCCCTCTGGAAATACAAAACACACCCTTGTTGAAAGAAATCAAGGTCAAAAAATGATCCGAGAAAGACAGATATGTGGTAAAATATATGGGAAAAGATGCAGTTAAAGAATTGAAACGCCATTGGGTAATGCCCATCTACAATTTGAATGATGAGGAGTTGTCTGTTTAGTTTATAATCTTTACAATGTAAGAATATCTTATTTCAAAACATATGCTTACTATTACCTTTCTATCACCATAATAACATCCAGTCATGCCTCTTATCTAATTTCATTTTCCATTTCCTAACTATGGTCAATTAGTCATTATTGTCAATAGTCAATACAGTAGGTCTATATTCTTTTGTATAACTAGTTTTTCTAACGTGTGTTGCGCGATTGGGATAGGGCCCAATGTATTTGGTGTAGCATAGATGTCTTTTTGTTATATGTTTGCACCTCAGATTAGAGTCTTCTAAGTTCAGATATATTTACTACCAAGTTCATGTAACATATTCTTCAATATTATACATCCCCACCTCTCCAACAAATGATGATGCTAATATAACACCTGGACATTGAGTACCAGTGCACATCAAAATTCGAATTAGCTCCCACCGGAAGTTAGGACTCAAGAGACAAAAAGCGACATTCCTTTGACTTGCAAATAATTTTCAATTCGATCCTTTTGACTAAAATGGCTTATATGTGCATGTAATGAGAATACCCATAAAGAAAATATACCCACCTCACAAGAAAGAACAGCCCAACATATAGTGCATTTGTCTTTTGTGCAAGTAAGCAAATATGAAGCAGATGTTATACATTAGACACCAAGACATTGCAATGACACCTTACAAGATACAATTGCGTTAAAGAGGTGAAAAATCAATGTAGAGGAAATTACAATATTTATAGTTAAAAACACAAATTGTTTTCTGTTGACTGTTGTTAACCGAACTTTAAGATTTAGGATATTGAAACTAGCATACAAATTGTTTTCTGTTGTTAAACGAACTCTAAGATCACACCATTTAGAATATACCTGGCATTCATTTAGGCACAATAAAAGTATTCTCTTGAATTTTTCTAGGCTTGGAATAGAAAAAACACCTACATGAGAACTTGCTGGAGCATATTCTGGCCAATTGCCGCCAAAGGCTACATGATGTACACATCCCCACCTTGTATGCATTTTCCCACATATCCCGATTTTAGTGTTATAGTTATTGAGAAAGCTAATAAATCTAGTCATAGCATTGCATTGTGAGGAAATCTAATATCTTTACTTTTCATTGTCCTTATAAAGATTAAAGAGATAGTCCTATTTCAATCTATGGTTTCATAGATATCCAATCGTGGTAGTTGAAGCAAGGAAATTATGGATTAAGAACAGTAAAAAGGCTTTTCGCATGTTGCAAGTGTCTGCATTTGTCTCTCTAGGGTGGGTTTCCACCGCTAGGGTTTGTTCCTCCGCTATCGTTTGTAACGAGGAGCAGCCGCCGCAGGCGGACTTAGTCGTACAGGGTTTCTTCTTCTGCCATCAATTGTGCGGCTACTTTTCTTCTTTGCTTTTGCTTTGGCGAGATTAAGCGGAGAGAAGAGGATGCTTGATCTCCGGCGGTCGAAGGTTGTGCAGGGACAAAAGACGGATGCTTGGTCTCCGGCTGCCATAGGTCATGGACAAAGCGTGGGGCTAGAGGCTGGAATAGATCTGGATTTGAGGTCATCTGTGGTGGGTGGCTATAAAAGAGGCTTGGTAGAGAGCATGATGAATAAGAGGCAAGGTGAGGAAGAAGCTACGGTACTGTTGGATCGTCCCCCTCCTGAACCTCCGCCATGGAGTGCAGGAGAGTCTAGGGTTGGGAAACAGCTTTTTAATTTTACTGTTTGCTTGCTTTATCCATCATACTCCCAAGCCAAAAAATAGAGTCTTTGGCTCCATTGCAAATGATGGAAGTAGGCCCTTAATATAGATCTAAGAATAAAAATCTATTAAGAATCTCATTAAGAATCTAATGTTGTGTACTTGTGTAAGTTTGACATAACAAAGTACAGAGACAGTTAGCACCTTACATATAATGATATAATAGCCAATAATGAGTTTAATTTACTTATAGGCTTATAGCTAATAAGCTAGTTGATATTATATGACATTTGGTAAAATTTAGTTGGTCACTTGGTCGGTTGGTCCCTTAGTTAAGAAATATAAAATGACATCAAAATATTTTTTTAACACAAAATGTGATTAATAATGACCTTTATACGAAGTAATAGTTCATTTGAAAACTACTCACTAACAATAGTTGTTCCATATTACATATTCCTACGGTAGATGTGTTCTTCCCATAGTCCTCACATGAAACATAGTCACCACACCGCTTTAAAATAACTTGAGTTACGGATTGAAATACTCTATGTATCATCAACCTTCTGATGATATATTCTTGATGATGTAAAATTTCACAGCTTTTTCCTTAAATGCTATATTCTTCCTATAGTAAGAAACATTTAAAATTAGAAGTCAGCAATACCTTTGCGTGTGTTTTATTTATTTTAATAGTTTTCCCACACATGTTTTCTGGGGGGTTTCTTCCATTATACACATTGGCCTATATCATCAGCAATGTATGGTAAATACTAAATACACTTCTTTTTGGTATTTCATCTTCGGTTTCTTTTGACCATTAAGCCATTTTCTCTGTCATTTTATGATGTGAATTAATGTTTGGTCATTTTATATTGTGAAATACCTGGCTTTTATTATGTAAACAGGAAAATGCCTCAGAGAACCTCTAAGCGCTAGTGCTCAGGGCTTCTTAAAAGATGATAAGTGTTTGCCTTAAAAAATATTGAGATTAATAACATGGTTATTTCAAATGCTGACTATATATTGCAACATACTGATTTTATACGCAGCCATGGCTCTACTACATTGACATCTCTACACACAAACTAACCAAGGAATAGAACTGTGAGCCTATGAATAATTCTGTCTAACTTAAGAACTTTTTTATATTCTACGGAGTAATAGGAAGTTAGGAACCACTTATTAAACAATTAGATGAAGTAAAATTTTATTTCATTTTAAGGAAAAATTTTACCATTAAGTTTTACAGGTCTAAAATTTATAAAGTCTTTAAAGCATAATTTTTTGAAATCCTTAAAAATTAATACTAACAACACCTAGAGCCCGTTTGGTAACAATGAAATTGGTTGAATCGACTTAATCTACTGAAATTTATGAAGTTCCGGTTGAAGTAGCTGGATTGGCTATTCTGCTGATTGCCTGATTTATGAAAAAATTATATTTAAAATAGTCAAAAAATGGCTAAAATGGTCCTCTATAGTAACTATTGAGCGCGTAGAATCAAAAGTTACGTGTTTGATGAAAAAATTGAGTGATTAGGTTGACAAACCAAAAAATGTGGTTACCAAACGAGCTCCTAATGAGTAATGAGTATATGTGAAAAGAAGCAAGAGAAATACTGAAAAACAACAATACACAGACAACAATCTAAAATAACACTTAAGAAGTAAATGGTGGTTTTTCAGCTTTATAAAACCTCACACTAAAAATCAAATTCTAGGTTTTACTCATTTAATTCACAACAACGTAGGGAGCAAGGTAGGAATATTCCAGAATAAGGAATCCAGAATTCACAATTCGATGCAAATATCTGACTTGTATAGAACTAGAGGTCTACAGCTGAACGGAAACAAGTCACGTTAAATCACACATCACAATTACTCGAACTAAAGCTGAATTCAGGATTCACAACAAGTAAATTCCAGAATTCTAGGGAGCAATCTTTCTGAATTCACAACAACAAAACTCCTCAAATTCCATAAACAAAGACATAAAGCTGAACTAAATAAAACATAACAATAAAAATTAAATTAAAATACATACCTGAAAATCGGATGACGATTGACTCAGCGAGCAGGAAAGGGAGGAATCCAGAGGGAGCAGCCACGCGAGGCAGGACTTGGGAGCGGGGCAAGGGGAACAGGCGCACAAGGCAGTAGGGCACTGCGGCCTGCGAAGCTAACTAAAGAACTGCAGGGGCAATTCGGCCGATTCGTCGCTTTCCGGCGAAGTGGCGAAGGCCGACCGGCTTGAGTGGCAGCAGGGCTCAACTTGTCTTCTTCACTGCCTGTCTGCTTCGACAGTTCGACTAGTGATGAGGATGGACAAACTGAGGTCTACGTATATACGGAGTACTATTAATATTTGGGAGAATTAATATTTGGGAGAATGGTTCTAGAGTTTCGGAGAGCCATAATACATCATTTACATAGAAAATCCTAATGCATATTCTATCTAAACGATAGCACACAACTTAGAATTTCCTTCAACACTCCCTCTTGTGCTGAGTTGTAGATAGAATGTTGTATGTGTCTTGTTGACTCTTCAAAACTCTGTCAAGTAACAAAAACCCTGTGGGAAAAAATAAACTTGACTGGAGAAAAAGGAGTATAGCATCAAGATAGTCTTCTTTCATTAAGTCTATATTTATTTGATCTTTGTTTTGATCATTAAAGTTTATAAGTATTGTTACCTCATTAAAAATCTTGCCAAGTAACAAAATCCAGTGGGAAAAAATAAAACTCGGGTAAAAGAAAAGAATGTAACGTAATCTAGTTGGGGTACTCCCCCTCAAGTCTACATCTACCCTTAATATTTACATTAATCAAGGGTGTTTGTAAAATATGTGCATTTCAATACTTGTCACATTAATTACCTTAGCGAAGGCACACAATAGAGGAATATAATTCCTTTAATTCTCCCCCTGTGTGTCGAGCGTAGGGAATTTTCCCAAATTATTAACTTGGGAAGACGTTGCTAATGAACAAAACTCAATGGGAAAAAATAAACATCGGTCAAAGTGAAAAGGAAGTATGGTGCACTAATACCTACGCGTCAATTATTTTAACTACGATATACTCTCTCCGTCCCTTAAAACTTTGTCATCTTTCCTTTTTGGGATGTTCCAAAAAACTTTGCCACTTTCCTTTTTAATCAATTATTTTGTGGTTTCTGTTATTTCTCTCTCCTCTGCACAAATCTAAAACACACAATTTTTACTTTATTATTCTCCGTGCCGGTCAACTTTGGCAAAGTTTTAAGGGACGGAGGTAGTAGTAATTATGTTCTTTCTTCAACATCGTTTTACTTTCGCAAAATTAAAATGTGGGATGGTGCATATTATGTTGTCTCATTAAAAAAAACTTTACCAAGTAACAAAACTCAATGGGAAAAAAATAAACCTTGATCAAAAGGGGAAAAGAAAAAGAGTACAACGCACCAATATAACTGATGATAAATAAGTATGTAAGGACTCCCCCTGAGTGCAACACATCAATAAGAATTCGATATCTAGTTGATATATACTTTTATCAAGGTATTCCGTATATAACATCTTGGTTTCTTTCATGGTAAATATATACTCATTTAAGAAAGTATCAATGAGGTAAGAGGATATCCATCGTCGGTAAAACTCAAATCACGTTATTTTGTGTTAGAGTGATACTTTTGACATTTCCAGTTCCTTTAGAAATATTATTATCAGCAATCATTTAATTAATTTATAAGGGATGAATAAAGATTACACCAATGGTTTCATATAGATATCAAAGTACATTCTTGATACTATTTCAATGATGATGTATTGGTCCTACGCTATTTTCAGCTAACAGTTCTTGAGAATGTATTATTTGGTCGAATGTGTTTGTCAAAGTACAATCATGCGCATATTGCACTTTCATAGGGAATTCCTTCTCCCAATGATTTTCCAACAATGGATATATTTTCTAGCATCCATATTTCGACCAATCATGGCAGTACTAACAGCTTACATTTATCCATGTTAATTTGCCTGAGAACCCTTTTGGATATATGCAACTTGTGAATTATTATTCAATCAACTCGGTGTTTTCAAAACAACCTGATTTTCCCAAGATCCTTTATCTCAATTATGACTTTCAAGTATCTAGGATTTCTCATTTTCTTTAATATGAGTACATACCATGTCTATATCTTCGACATATAATGATACTTGGAGGGAAAGCATAATCTATCTTTCTCTATCCCTTTTCAGTCAAGTGGTAACTTAGACGGATATGTCACCCTCCTCTAGATTGATTTAATCCAAATGTGAACGTTTCAATGTAAATATACAATGTAATTTAAAACCACTTGATTAAAGATAATAAAAATATAAAAAATACTTCATATACATCTCTTTAATGAAATTCTATTGAGACATTTAATATCCACAATCTTTAGATGCGTCTCCATTACTTTGGAGTCTACTTATAGATTAAGTAGTTGAACGTTTTTGTGTTCAAAATAGAGAAGTATAATTTTTCATATTTGAATCCAGGGCGTTGTGAGAATAATTAGGACCTCATTATCTCAGTACACTTTCTAACAAAGAATTATTTCATGTCCTACAGGCTTTACACTTGGTTGATTATCACTATCATACCAAATACATGTCTCTTTGTCAAATATTAAATTTTATACCTGGATTACCTGTACGCATTTAGGCCAATATTCTCATTGCTTTCATATTGCAATAGATTATGGTTCGATATCATCGTGCTCTATGCTCCTTTGAGCAACTGTATAAATATATCGTCAGTATAAGTGTAAGGTCTATCAGTCGACTCATACACACTCTCTGATGGAGTATATGGCCCGGGAACCCCCGGCCCACAGACGCCTACTACTCCAGTAAAGGCCCAACAGGCCCAGAAGGCCCAACAGGCCCAAATCACAACGCCTAGAGTACCAAGCAGCCCGCAATACGCGCCAGGGGTGCCTTCGGCCCCCTGGCCGAAGGCTAAAATTCTCACAGGACGGGTTTCTCAAGCAAACTAAGAAACTGGGAGAAAACGGCGAAAACAGTAGCCCTCGGTACCAGGAGCCCTCGGGACCAGGGTGCCCTCGATTTGAGGAGCCCTCGACTCCTGCTCTATAGCCGAAGGCACCTCTCCCAACATGATATCCGCCTCACATGCGTACAGATCACCGTACCCTGTGCAGACGTCCTATCCAACAGCCGCATTAAATGCGGCCACATGCGGCTGCCAACGCCAACCAGTTGAGGAGACCCCTCGGCCAATGGGCGCTTGACACGTGTCCCTGTCCGGCATTTATTGCTACTATAAATAGCACCTCATTTCCCCATTTGTAACCACGACATTCATACTGAATACACTCTCTCTCTTACTTGCTTGTGCTCTGACTTCTCTCTAAGTTATTCTCAGCAATAACCCCTCGGATATATACCCCCCGGGTAGACTATCCATCATTTGGTGCTCTCGTTGAGAGGTCGAACAATCGAGTAAGAAACCATCCCCCTTCGCCAAACACTAGCCCTCTACCAAAATGGTGAGAACAACACGTGCCAACTCCAAAAACGTAGAAGACAAGAACCTGGCCCTCGGCGACGTCAACGCCCCCGAAGCCTCTCACAGGGCTCCCGAGGGCAGTGTCATCGCTGGGCTGGAACAGGCAGCTGTCGACCTACGCCTTCAGATCCAACAGAATGCCCCCGATGCCCGCCTCGGCATCGAGGCCAAGAAGAAAAACCGGAGCGATGACCAAGTCAGCCCTCCGGTTCTCACCATCGACGTGCAATCGGTGCTCTCCGCCTTCATCCAAACGCTCACTCAGAACCCGGGTGCCTTCGGCACCCTGGCTCCGGCTCAACCCCAGGTTGGGGAGAACATCATACTCCCCCCTCTGCCACACCCCTTCGGAAATCCCACCCCTCGGGTCAGGAACGACGAAGGGGTAGTGGCCCAAGATACGTCCTCCCAGGAAGTTCAGTCCCGGGACCGCCACAATGACAACAGAGAAAGGCCCCGCACTTCCGCCCTCAACCGGCTCGGAGGAGGGCCAGACCGCCGAGGGGTCAAAGACCGCCTCGGAGGGAAAGCACTCCAAAGGCCCCAGGAAAGCGGAGGGTCTGTCTCGAGGGCAGACGAGGAGCGTCCCCCTCGGGACAAAGGCAAGGCACCCCTTCATGCCAATGATGCTCGCCACCAGATCAACCAGGCCCACTCGGCCCGGGTTCGTTCGCAGGGGGCGGAGACCCTCCCGAAGGATCCCCGGGACAAGATTATTGCGGCCCTCCAACGCCGGCTTGATGAAATGGAGGCCAACAAAGCTCACGCCACCACCTCCACCCCTCATTCAGACCTCAAATACGAGGCCATGATGGCCAAAATGGAGGAATTACAGAAGAAGGTGGCCGAGGGCTCCGGGGAACCCGTCATCCAGCTCCGGACTCGGACGCCATTTACCCCAAGGGTATTGGCGGCCCGGATCCCGGAAAAATACCGAGGGCAACATATACAGCCCTACAACGGGAAGACGGACCCCTAGGAACACTACAGCAAATACCAGAACAGCATGATGATGGTAGGGGCATCGGACGAATATTTGTGTCGTTGGTTCCTCTCCACTTTAGAGGGGCCGGCGTACGAATGGTTCAACCTGTTGCCCGAGGGCTGCATTGATTCGTGGCAAGAACTCGCCCAGCGGTTCTTGACACAATTTGCCGGGAGGCGTCGCACGAGGAAGCACTTCTCCCACCTCCTAACCATACGCTAGAAGAGGGACGAGACCCTTCGGGACTTCCTGGAGCGCTGGAGGACGGAGGCCGACAAACTCGACGGGGCTGATGATGGGACCCTCCTGGCCCTCCTACAGACCGTCCTCCGCACCGGCAACTTTTCAAGGAGCCTCATCATTGAACCCCCCGCGACTACATAAGGGCTTTGCAGCGGGGGGACCGATATGCTGAGGCCGAGGAGGTGGAGAAATACCACCAGCATCCGGATCAGCAGCCCCCGAGGGCTGACAACAAAAACAACCGAGGGCCGGGGGCTCCTCCAAATCACCCCAAGGCTTCAGGACCCTCTGATGATCGCCCTCGGCAAGGCCAAGCCAAGCCCGGGGGAGGTTATAAGAGCAACCCTAAGACTTGGGCACAGCCCATTCTCCTGGACCGCCCCCGGACACCATTGACGCACCCCGTCAGCATCATCCTTGATTTTGCCGAGGAGAGGGGCCTCGTTGAGATCCCGTTGGACTCATCTTTGTATATTTCTGCATTGTCATAAGAATCCAGGCGAAGTTCTTCCAATTCTTGTAATCCACGCCTTCGTCTATTTCCGAGAAAGCTGAGATCCCGTTGGACCGGACCATACAAAGTGGTCAAAACACATCCACA